GAAAATGCCCTTACAAGAATGTGAATACAAATCTAGATAGAAATGCTAACTATTTGTTGGTGTACGTTTAAGTTGTTGAGTTGCACTGAGGCAGAGTTGACATATGGAAAATTTTGCATACCTAACATATGCATTTTGAGAGTTTTCATATATGCATATGCCTGTGGTAACGCTGCCTCAACAAAGTCGAACAGATCAATCACCTCCCCAAATTCCCTTGTATTCTTTTGAGAGCTTGAAGGGTGTGTGTGTGTGTGTGTGTGTGTGTGTGTGTACAGAACACTTAACGTGAGATCTATCCTCTTACTACATTCTAAAGTGTACCACACTGTATTAGCTACAGGCACTGTATTGTACAGCAGGTCTCAATAATTTATTCCTCTTGTCTAAGAGAAGTCAATATATATTGTGCAACAACTCCTTATTTCCTGTATTTTAATTTTTTGGTAGATATAGCAAATTTCCCGGCACTGAGGTTTCCCCAGTTTCTATTCTTGATCAGAATATCAGAACGGCTATTTCTCGGGGGCTGGGGATTTAGCTCAGCGGTAAAAGCGCCTGCCTGGCAAGCGCAAGGTCGTGAGTTTGGTTCCCGGTACCGGAGAAAACCGCCCCCCCCCCAAAAAAGAACGGCTGTTTCTCCACAGGCCTTGCACATTCCAGCCCTTTGACCCCTGACAGTATGTTAGAGAGGAAGTTATATCTATGTTGGCATCAGCGCTGTGTGTCCTTTGTCGTGAGTCAGGTTGAATACTTCTGGCTTGCTTAGCAACCAGGCACAATTCCTGCTGTGAGTTTTCATGTGGATTGTTACGCTGCCTTCCAGAGCCTTGGAGAACAAGAGCAACACGCAGACTTTATGGTCAGGAGCTGTCACTGATGTTGCCAATGACGTTTAGCATTCATGTGTAAATATAGTACAGAGATACCTTGGTTCACGAATACTGTTCAGTAACAATTCAGTTAGCAAACAAAAGCATTCAGTACAATTTTGCTTCTGTTTGCAAACCGGCACTGGGTGATGATCTTGACCATAGCCATCACCCGCTCACAAACACAAACATAACAATCTTCCCCAGAATCGTGGAACAAATTAGGTTCATGAGCTGACCCACTGCTGTATTATTTCACTAGAAAAACTAGAAACCCTGTGTTGAAAGATGATGATACTTTCATTACTATAGTGGGAGAGAGGCATTATATATCCCGTCCTATGTGCACTTGATTAGCACTGCAGTAGAGCACAATCTTTGCTCTGTAAAATGTTTGTGTTTCCCTTTGAAACTGATTTTACTCCTTTACTTTTTAAGTCAAAACATTCCTCATACTACATATTCCACAAACTGCTACAAACAGCCTGATTTATTTTTGCCAACCTGTATTTGAAAGTCTTTTGCAGCATTATTTTAGACTTATGAAAAGCAAATTGGTCATAATTACATTCAGAAGAATCTTTTGGTAAGCAAACATTTCCATTCAGTCTGCTCTCTGGCAGTGCCTTTCTGAGTTACTTGGCTTATAAATACATAATACACACTAATGTGGAAACCTGGGGACTGGCATTCTTACTCTGATAAAATGTAAGTTGCTTTTCATAGGTTGCATTTATTAGCTATTCTGGTGACACATAACTGCCTGTGAGTAATGTGCAAATGCTAACAGTTGACAACAAGCAGATGAAATAGAACTTAGGATGTGAATATATTAGAGTTGGTACATGTGAAAATAAACACAATGATATTCTAGGAACAAGCATAAAGGTGAGAACAAAGGACAACTTCCATAGTTATCATGACCAAGTATTGTTCTGGGGTGGAAGCACGGTTGGGGATTGAACCTGGGGCAAGGGATTACTCAGCAAAGTTTCCCACCCAGACCAACCAAGCATCTGAAATGGTTTTCCTGGTAATGAAGAATGTCAGTCACTCCTTGGCATACACACACACACACACAAAGCAAATAAAGTTAGCATATTATAGGGACACCCATGTTTACCAAGGCACAATTCACAATAGCCAAGATATGGAATCAACCTAAATGCCTATCAGCATATGAGTGGATAAAGAAGACAGTGGGATATTGCTTAGCCATAAAGATGAACACAATTCTGTCATTTGAAGGAAAGTGGATGGATCTGGAGACCGTGGTGTTGGTCAAATAAAACAGACCAGAAAGACAAATACTGCATCGTGTCCTGAATGTGTAGAGTCTAAAATAGGTGACAAGCAGAAGGAAGACCATTACTAGACAAAGGGAGGGCTTAGCAGAAGGGAGGAAGGAGAGGGAAGTGATGAAAGTGTATTATACACGTCCAATCCCCACCCAAAAATGGAAGCTGAGGAAAGGCAGGGCAAGGGGGCCACGGGGCTGACATGATCCAAGTGTGCTATGTGTGTGTGCAAATCTGCCAGATGAAACCTGCCAAGGTGCATAACCAGTTTTTAAGAAGAGCCAAAAATACATGGAAAGAAGAAATAATCAGTGTCCTGGTGACCTTAGGATAGGATGTCTTACCAATACATAATGGGAAAGAGTAAATAATCTCAATGTGCTAATAATCCAAAGACAGGTGTCTTACCTACACAGGGAGCTGTATTTCTGGTCATGAGGTTACTTAGCCATGCTTCTGGCGTATGTATTAGTGGCATAGAGGAGGTAATCAACAAATATGGTGAGTGTCTAAATTTAAAATATTTATGACAATAAAAGACGTATTTGCAAGATGATGGGAGAAGTAGGGTCCAAGTGAGGGGAGAATTTTGAGAGAAACTAGCGACAATGTGTTTAGTGTAATACTTTAAAAAAATCAAACATTCACTGAAGTTTTGGATCACACCCCACTGACCAACCCTTTATGGCGATTCCTACCAAACAGAAACTCTGTGGTGCATCCTCACCCACGCTGTTCGCTGGGTCTGGCTCGTCCCTGAAGCGCAAATAACCAGCAAAGGCAAGTATTCTGAATCAGTTCAGGACTCTGCGGCAGCCACCTCAGCCCAGCTGGAGACACTTGTGGAAGAGAACTTCAGAACCGCCTGGGAAGGCGGCACGAACGACGGCGTGGAGCGGGCACGGCGGCGCGCACCTGTAACCCCAGCCTCTGGGAAGCCGAGAAGGGGAGAGCACCGCCAGTTTTACGCCACCCTGGGCTGCACAGTGAATTAAAGGCCACCGTGAACTATACACTGAGACCCTGCGCCCCCAGACAAAAGCTGAATAATGGGATAAATGTGTTTGAAGCAAGAGGGCTTATTTTGAGTGGGCTTGAAGGCAATGTGCCTTTCACTGCAATGTCTTAAAATAACTTAAACATGAACCACATTCTTCTCACCCCCGAGTCTAGTCACCGGGAGGAAGTCCAAATATTCCACACCCATTGCACACAGCGCCACCTGTGCAGACAGACTCAAGCGGCCTCCGAGATCTCAGCTCTGCTGTTCAGGCCTTGCACAATGCCCTCTCCTGGAGGTGGGTGGAATGGTTGCTTTGTTTCTAACCAATAAAGATGGTAGAGATGATGGGATATCACCAATGCTTTTAAATTACACTCTACAAGGCCATCTTTCTAGCAGGTGTGCCCTAGAGACTCCTTGGATGGCTCTGAGAAAGCAAAGTGCCGAACTGTGACTGCCTCCAGGAGCAGGTACTTTGGCAGGGAACTAAGGGTGGCTGAGGAAGCCGAGGGTCTCATTCCTACAGTGGCAGGAAACAGCTTTGTCAACAACTGTGTGAGTTTGGCCAGGAAGGCTCCGATGAGACCCAAGCTCGGGCAGATACCTGATGGTCTTGGGATACCCTAAACTAGAGAATCCAGATTAGAGGTGTCTGAAGTCCTAACTCAGAGAAACTGTGACAGAACACATACATGCCATTTAAACTTCTAAATTTGTCGTAATTTGTTATGCAGTATAAAAAATAATACACCACTAGACAAAAGACCCCACCTGTAGCATACCGCAGTTTTTATATGTTCATTGCACCCCTTTAGGGGCAAGTTATACTTCCGTTGGCATTAACAATACATAATCCCCATTCCAGAAGCAGGGTTCTACTTCTCGATGTTTGAACTCAGGAGGGACCGTCTGACTTGGTTTGACCTCTGGAGAGTAAACAAAAGCAGAAACCTTGATACGTACTATGGAGCTGGCCTGGCTTCTCTCCTCTCTCTGCACCAGACTGTCTGATCTATGTTGAACTTATAGGGATAGCATGCTCCTCCCCCCACCAAAAAAGAACAAAACGAAACAAAAACCCCTTTCTTGGGTGAGCCACTGAGATTTGAGGTTACTACAGTATGATACAGCCTTTCTCCCTGAAAAAGAATAATTTTTTCAGTGACACAGTTGGGTCAAGTTGGAGTGCAGT